TCGAGGATGCCCAGACTGAAGACTCTTAGCATCTGACGACGGATGTAAATGAAACGCAGCTACTAAAAATATCCATCTGTACTGAAAATCTTGAAAATAGATAGACATTTTCCAAGAAGTATACTTCTTTGAAAATTTAAGAAGAATTCTACAGTGCCCCAGCGTGTTTCTGAAAATCTATTCACCTTTAGCGAAATTTTTAGGGTAGATTTTTCACTTTTTCTCACGAAACAAGGGTTGCATGTGAATTCGTAGTGGTTTTTAACGGGTAACACGGGCCCCCTCAGGGGCCCGGGCCCCGGTACCAGGGACCCAGTATCCCCTCCCCTCCTTGTGGCGGGCCTGATTACCGTGCACATGCGTGGATGTAAAAATTGTTTCTCGTCAAACTTTCCCACAGGAAAGTTCCCTCCTTAAAGAATAGGAACGTCCCTGCTTATATTCTTAATATATATAAAGTCGCTTTATAACGCACTCTGGCGTTCTACGACACCCAAACGCCACATATGCCTGTCTTCCCAGAGGTTATCGGGCAACTGACACCGCAACATCTCTTCGTCAACGCCCTGCCGCCAACCCTTTACGGGACGTCCCCGTCGCCTCTTCCCAGGTGGTACCCAATCCAAAACTTGTTTGGGCAACCTCTCCTCCGACATTCTTTGCACATGTCCATACCAGCATAACTGCCTGGACATGACGTCGTGCACGATATCTTTCTCAACCTTCATCACCTGGCGAATTCTCTCATTACGGACACGGTCCCGTCTCGAAATGCCGGCAGATCGCCGCCAAAAATCCATTTCAGTTGCCCTCAACATTTCTTGCGTTCTTTTCGTCAAAGGCCACACTTCACTACCATAGAGCACGATACTTTTAACGATGGCGTCATATATTCGGTGCTTGTTTGCCTTTGAGATGCTCTGATCCCAGAGCACCCCGTTCAGCATCGCGATGGCTCTCCTGCCCTGGATGATCCTGTCCTTAATTGCTCTATCCATCCTTCCATCCTGCTCGAGCCAAACACCGAGATACTTATACTCGTCACACTCTTCGATGCGCCGTCCATCCTCAAGCTCTATGCTTTGCCGTTGATGCGCTGCTCCCACGACCAGCTTCTCTGTCTTGGACACACTAACATCCATGCCCCATTTCCGATATTCTTCGACCAACTTCCGCGTCATGTAATCTGCATCTTCTTCATCTTGAGCTACAACGATCTGGTCATCGGCAAAGCATAGAGTATAAAGGGTCTGCCCATCAAGGAGTGGAACGCCCATTCCCGCAACCTTATTTTTCCATTCCTTTGACGCGTGCTCTAGGTATACTTTAAATAGTGTTGGTGACAAACAACAGCCTTGTTTTAGCCCTTTTGTGACGAAGAAACCTCCGGACAACTCTCCACGACATTTAATTCTTGCTATCGTCCCGTTATAAAATGATTTAATTGCCCCCACAAGTCCTTTGCTAAAACCCCTTTTTTCCAAGGCTTCCCAAAGCTTCACCAACGGCACGCTGTCATAAGCTTTCTGAAGATCCACAAACACCAAGTGCAGCTCCTGGCTGACCGCCCTTTTCTTCTCGATGACCTGGGAAATGGTGAACAAATGGTCGACGGTAGACCTACCGGCTCTAAAACCAGCCTGTTCTTCGGCTTCCTGGCCGCTCCAAACCTCTTCGACCTTAGCCTTGAGAATTTTACCGTAGACCTTGCTCAAGGTTCCTGTGACCGATATACCTCTGTAGTTGTCGCAATCTTGCTTACTACCTTTCTTATGACTGAGAGTAATCCAAGACTCCTTCCAATCTTTTGGTATTTCAGAACCATGCAAACAGTCTTGCATAAGTTTCCTCAGATGTTCAAATAGTTTACCGGTACCACATTTTATCAACTCCGCCGGTATACCCCCAGGTCCAGGAGCTCTGCGAGTTTTCAACTCCCTCACAGCCTTCACTACATCTTGGAGCTGGATCTCCACGTTGGAATCGTCTTCAGTGCTTATGACTCCGCCTTGAAACTCGGGTCGCCTCTCCGTTAATAAATCTTTAAAATAGTCCTCCATATTGTCAATTGGTATCGGAGATATGATGTCACGCATTTTATTTCGTCGCAACCCTTTGATCACTTTCCAGCCTTCCGTACTTTTCCGGCCTCCAAGGTAGGTATTTATCTTCATACAGCTTTCTTCCCAAGCCTCATTCTTCTTCCGAGTGATGGCCCGACGGACCCTTGCTTGAGCCTGTTTGTACATGATTTTATCATCCAACTTTTGAGAAGAGAGAAACTGATGATACCTATTCCTTTTCACATTTATTTCCTCCTCTACCTCCGCATCCCACCAGTACGGTTTTTGATTATCATTTTTTTGGATCAGAAACCCCCAGGGCCTCCGCTGCCGCCGAGTGAACGCAATTCTTGATAAACTCATACCGCTCTTTCGTACTGCCATCGCACGTATCTCCTAACTTTTCATCCAGGCGCTTTGCGTACAGAGCCTTGACACTCGGGTGCTTTAGGCTATCGATATTATATTGAACTTGATGTACGCGTTGTTGCTCCGGTTGTTGATTGTCGCCTTGATCGTTCTGCGACACACGAGCGGGAAAGGCTACATCCGCTCTGAGGAAATAGTGGTCACTACCGCAGGAGAGTCCTCTACATACTCTCACCTGCTGGATCTTCAGGTCTGTTACCTGTTTAACGAGCACGTAGTCAATGATGGATCTTAAGCCGCGAGTAGGTTGGACCCAAGTATATTTGTGAATATCCTTGTGTTGGTAGAACCCGTTCAACACTTTTAATTCCCTCTGCTCGCAAACGTCGATAATGCGGCTTCCGTTGTCGTTCACCGTAACTTCACCGAATGGGCCGACGACTTTACTGTTCACCCGGGATCCCGTTCTACCGTTTAGATCTCCCAACACAAGGACTTCCCTCCCAGGTCCTACCTTCACTACCTCCTCGTCCAGTTCTTCAAAAAACTGATCCTTAAGTGCAATGGTAGCATCATCATTGACCCTGTATACTCCCAAAACAGTGACTCTGTGACCGTGCAATGTTAGGTTCATCTTAATCATGCGAGCGTTTATGGCCTCCCAGTTCTTAATATATTTACGAAATTTTTTGCGGATCAGAATTGCGACACCCTGTTGTGCACGCTGATGTTTCGGCACTCCACTGTAGAATAAATCGTAGTCCCCAAGGCTCTCTGATCCGTGGCCTTTTTTCTTTGTTTCCGTTATTACCGCCAAGTCGATCCCGTTGTTCTTTATCTCCGATACCACTTCCGTCAGTTTCTTGGAAATGCCTTGCACATTCCAAGTACCAAAAGCGAGTGTCGTTTTCCGTAATCTAAGTCGAAGAGTCCGTTTGTTTCCATGATTACCGAGGCATATGTTATTGGGTTTTTTGACATTGTACATTTTTTTCCAAGGATCGGGGAGTCAGCCTGATGCCCCAACCCCCAACCTGGAGGACCTGGGTTTGATTTCGGAGTTTCCTCTCCTGGACAGGTTGCTTCCACCACAGCTAAGAGCCCTGTCTACCCACCCCCTTTGAGGCAGGGGCTACCAGCTGGGGTCCGCAGGATTGCTAAACCTGTGACAGTATAGTCCCCCATACGGTTTTATATTCTTAATCACCTGAAAAATATGCGCCGAACAAAAATAAATTTTCGGATAAATGGAATGTTTAATCAAATTTTGGCACGCCGTGAACATTTGTGACAGCTATTGGCGCTCATTAATCAAATAAATTGCACCGATGATTTCAACCGAGTCAAGGCAAATCCGATCTACCTGCTTTTACTTATTTGTAATCCGTGGCAGTTGCTCACCTGACATGATGGAAATTGAAAATGTATTTACCTAAAGCGGCGCATGGTGGAGCGAATCAATGAGAGAGGTTGGACATAGTTCGGAAATTTTAAAAGTTCGTACCCGTGTCTTCATAAATACAAAATGCAACTGTATGACTACACGGGGAAAAAAGTGTCAGGGGTTATCCCCTAAAATTGTGGTACTACCCCAATTTGTTGGATGATATGGACATTTCTAATTAATTATGGTAGTACCGCAACATTTGGGTTAGTTACCTAATTTATTGGGGTAGTGCCATAATTAATTGGGGTGCTACCATAATTAATTGGGGCACTACCACAATTAATTGGAAATGTCCATATCATCCAACAACCTCGTACTTTTTTCCGTGTATGGTTACGTTGGTTTTCTTGAAAATTTCTCTCAGAACAATTTAACGGAATAAAATTCGTAAACTTCCCGCTTGCTGCTCTGTCGCTAAAAGGATGCTTTTTGTTGTCTTAAAAATGGTGTTGTTTACAATTTAAGTTACTTTTTTGCTACTTCCAAGGGACTTCTGCTTGCTCCGATATGGGTTTAGCTTGAATCAAGATTTTCGGCGAAAAATTTAAGAATCGTCATACTTAAGTTAAAGTTTTTTTTTTTTTTTTTTTTGAGTGAACTCTGTTAAAATGTATGATATGATGATATAACCATCAAAACTGGCAGTTTGAGTGTCCAACCTCTTTTAAAAGCTTGTTTCACTGTGCGGCGTTGGTTAAGTTGAGCCATACCTAGCGGAAACGGTATCCAAATTTTACAGTACTGCTCAGATCGTCCGACGTGATGTATGATTTCCTGGCGAATTTATTTCAAAGTTTTGACGGGATTATCCTGAAAAAACCTTCCACACGTTCGCTCTATTTTTCTACAAAAATAATTTACATGTGTGTTTGAATAGGATGCTACAATTTGAGCAGCAATTCAGAGTTAGGGGTTATTTTTACAAAGACTTCCTCATTTGGTAGAGATACTATGCGTGCCCTTGCGCGCGTGACCATTTATTTTTGATCCGCACCTGAGACATCAGTTTTAGTCCTGAGCGAGCAAATATAAGCTTGAATTTGAGTGACATTCATCTTTTATTTTTTTAGCCATACTTTTAAACTGTATGTTTGAAGTTGAAGACAAGTGTTACTAAGAGTATGGTTAGCGCCACTACTGATGTGATTTTGGTGAGTGATTTCTTCGGTCAAAGCACCTTACCCCGTTTCTTCTAAGGTAACGTATACATGATTGCATTCCCTCTAAAGCAGTTTTTAACCTGAGCTACACTTTTTTCGAAAACGGGTGAGCTATATTTTTATCATCCCCCTTCCATTTTCATCATTACAATAATTTAAGCCAAAAAATGTAGACCAGTATGACGCATAATTCATGCATGCACCGCTGATTTAATATAAAAAAATGCTGGTCCGAGAAAGAAAAAAAAACAATTTTTTTTAGAAGAAGTAACGCGGCAATAATAAAAAGTAGTAACGTTAAATTTTAGTAGTATAATTTTCTGTCACGAGTTTCGGATTGTGTTTCAGATCTGCACACTTCTGTCTCTCACCGACCCCGTGCCCAAAATATCAGCTGAACCTCGTGTAAGTATCTGTTCGCATTTCGATATCAGTAAATATTTTTGATCAGTTGCTTCAGTTACCGGATAATTTTTCATAGGCGATGTATCGCTGAAATCATCATAAGATGCTAGGAGCCTTCGAGGCATGAGCTTGCTTTTACACATGTAGATTAAAACGTTTTAGCCTAGTGCTTAGTTAATTTTGAAATTTTAGTTTAATATATTGAATGAAGCTGCCTCTTGATTGGGCACACGTTAGGAAAGGAATGAAGCATTGAAAGGAAAGCGGAGACGCGGGAGATGCCTTCATTTTTTCGTGTATGCAATACGGACGACCAAAGTGCACGTTTAGTTGTATTCAAGCGTTATATACGATCGAGGTTGGGGTGCGGATGTACATATGACAGAGTCCTATACTACATTTAGGCAAAATTTAAGACTATTAACTTTACTTGGTGCTATTAAATGAAAAGTACATGTATGCTCGCTCATCCACGCTTGCGAGTGAATTATGGCGAAGAAAAAACAAAATAATTGCGAAAGTGACTTTGAAAGTGTATTTTTACCTTTCTGAAGTTTTTTCTTCTTTTTTAAGGAATGGTCACTGCCACTGGATCTGACAAAACATGTCGAAAATTCTGAGTCGCTGCCACTGGATCTGACAAAACATGTCAAAGATTCTGTCGTGGATCAGGTAACTGATATCTATATATTTATGAAGAATGTACAGTCTCATTTCACCGTTTGGCTCTGCTAAAGCTTGTCTCTTGTGTATACTATTTCTTTAATTAATGTTTCCACATTTTAAAATTGAATTTACGAGTATTGTATTTGTTCATAGCCTTTTTTCTAGCAGTGTGTGTTTGATTCGACCTAAATGTCTGGCTGCTTAAAATTTGGTTTTAAAGTATTGTGTACATAATCTGAATCATCAGAATGTATACATCATGTAAGTGTATATACGAGGGTCATCCATTTTCATATGATCCGTGTGTCAAGTACTAAAAATTTTAAATTAAGTCTGAGTGTCTTTGATTCTTCTTAACTTGAAGTTTTCAAAACATCCAAGATTTGTAAATTTGAATCAGCGGTTTTTAAAGAAAATTTATTTTCACGCGAGAAACTCCTCATTGACCTCTGATCATTAAAGAACGGACTCACCGCACCATTGTTTTTGTAATCTGAGCTACTTATTTGAATTTTTTGTGAAATTTCATCATCCAATTGTAAGTTCCAACGTTCAAAATCTCCGTATTTTAATTCTCATGTTCGTAAAATATGTCAGTTGCGTTATCAGCTTGTCCTTAATTTTTTTTGGAATGGTCGTTTAGCTAGATTCTACAACCGAGCTCCTACAACAGTTTGAGCGGTTTATAGTGGACTACGGGAGGAGTTATGCGTCGCTGGCGGAGAAAATGATGCGGTTCGAGATTTTTAAAGAAAATTTGCAAAGAATTAAGGAGTTGATGGCCAATGAGAGAGGAAGTGCCAGATATGGTGTGGGCCCTTTCGCTGATATGTCCGGTGAGTATAAATGCCCAAAGGAATCGTAAACATTTCCAGACATCGTTACCTTCCGGCTAAAGTATCAAAAACGTCGCAAGCCGTTTAAAAATTTCCACCGCAAATTTTATTTTTTCACAGAGAAATTTTCGGTTGAATCTGTTTGAAAATGTCACTGAATTTTATCAGCAGCACAAAAAAAATTCAGTGAAATTTTCGGACTGCTTCGTTGAATAATATATCTGTAGGAAAATATAATGGCGGCAAAAACGTTTAAACGTTACATGGCGCTTGTGATACTTTGGCCGGGATATCTTCTATACTATAAGCTCCAAGACCTCCTAATTTTGCGAAACTGGTGACGCTTAGTTCCAGCGTTCTACCGGGCCGATTTTCATGATTTTTGCGGCTATCTATACTATAAGCTCCAAGACCTCCTAATTTTGCGAAACTGGTGACGCTTAGTTCCAGCGTTCTACCGGGCCGATTTTCATGATTTTTGCGGCTATTGACGGGCAATTGTCTCTAGATAAGCCAACTCTTTTCAGATTTTGAAAATATGGCCCAGGTTTTTTTATATTACGTGGTTAAGTTGCGAATTCTCCCATATAAACAATGTAAATTTATGTGTTTTGTCATAGTTTGTTTGAGCATTCTACTGGGCCGATTTCCATGATTTTTGTGTAAATCGACAGGTAATAAGCTCTAAATGAGCCCGCTCTAATCAGATTTTGGAAAAAGGACCCAGGTTTTTTTAAAATCACGTTATTAAAGTGAGTGAATTTACAGAGTGCTCCGGGACTGCTACCGCTATGCGCGGGAGGATGCGCAGTGGTCGAGGAGGTTGCGCAGTAGGTGTGTAGCCTGCGCATCAGCTCTACACTTATCTACACAAGATTTCCGCCGATTACCTCAAGACGAGCGGTGGCCGAGTCGTCTACGACGCACATTGGTTCCGAGACCCGATCTAGGTGGCATTAATTCGAAAAAATGAATTTTGGAAAAATTAAAATTTGACACCACAGATTGATAGTGCATACTCTCGAGAGTAACTTGGCCAAATATCATGAAGATTGGATCACTAATAAGGAAATGATAAGCACCTAAAGGTGAGGCCGCGAGGTACTTTTGGGCGGACTCGCACCAGTTTTCAGTGTTTACTGTCAGGTCCTATGATTTGAAGTTCATCACACAGAAATAGATGCAAATGTGAAGTGTTCTGTTATGGTGTATCAAAAATATAAGGCATGTTAAAGGTTTATACGTTCTTACTATCTTTCAAAAACGTGTCTATACATCTAGACAAGCCGTTAGACAAAGCGTTATTTTCTACTAATTCCAAGCAAATTTTTACAAAAATGGCTCTAGATGAATGTCTTGCGCCGGTTCGCACGCATACAGACCTACTGTAGTAGTTAGTACTAACCCTAAACTTGATTTTAGTGCAATAAAATTCTGCGCATACTTGCGTCCCTGGGGGTTAGGGCACTTTGAATTTCCAAAACCGGCTTTCAAGAAATAAAGAATTGACACACTAAGGAGCTTACTGCAGACCTCAGATCCTTGGGAATATGAATACTGCATTTTTTATAGGTCATGTGGGTTCTCAAGTCTTCATAATCGTTAAGATGATTATTTTTTACTTTGTCTATACCTCTAGAGAAGCCCATAGACTTACCACAGCTCCGGTTTTTTGACTGGAAATTTTACAATTATGACTCAAAATAAAGGCCCTGCGTAGGTTCGCACACGTGCAGACCGACTGTAGTAGTTAGTGCTGACCCTACACTTGATTTCGGAGCAAAAAAATTCTGCGCATACTTGCGTCCCTGGAGGTTAGCGCACTTTGAATTTCCAAAACCGGCCTTCGAGAAATGAAGAAAATTGACACACTGAGGAGTTTACTGCACTACTGCAGACTCCAAATCTTTGAGGACTGCATTTTTTGCACATCACGTGAGTTCTCAAATCCTCACAATCTTTGGGATGATTATTTTTCACCTTGTCTATACCTGTAGAGAAGCCCATAGACTAAAGACAGTTCCCGTTTTTTGACTAGAAATTTTACAATTACGGCTCAAAATACAGAACACGTGGGTTCTTAAATCTTCTCAATCGTTTAGATAATTGTTTTTCACATTGTCTGTACTTTTAGAGAGGCCCATAGACATAGCACTGTTCCACAGAAAAGGAGCTTACTGCACTCCTCGCGCATTATTCCGTGATTGTATGAGTAAATGTGTTCTAACTTAACGACGAATGCTTATTTCTTTCTTGGTTCATGATTTCTTCGTGTTTTTATTCTCTCAGGTTTGTAAGGCTCTGAAATCATCGCAAGCTCACAACTTTGTTTAAAAAAGAAAAAAAGCAAGTGTGACACCTCACTCTTTTTGATGCGCAATAAAATATTATACCGATGAATATTTTCCTGCTCCTACAGACAGTAATCATTTTTCTTTTAAAATACTTTGCCATTAATTTTGGTTTCTGCTTTCCTTCATTGAGTGAATACCTATACTTCTTGTTCAAGTAAAATATTTATGTTACGTATGTTTAAATTGCCGCGTATAATGAATTTAAATGTATTTTTTGAATTATAGACGAAGATCGAATCTTAATTCATAGTTATTCTGATAATATAATAATTCTGATAGCATAATTGTACCATTAAATTACGAAGCTTCAAAATTTCTGTTGGTTTTAAAGCGCGGCGAATCAAGAAATCAGCGAGCATTGAGGTTCAAATAAAGTTCTTCTTACGCTGATTTGTCAACACTGTATGAACAACTCGAATAGTGGGATAAGCAGTTTTCTTTGGTACTGGAATTTATTTTCCTCAGGGAAACCACAACATTTAGGAGGTATATTTTACCAGATAATACCAATTCCTGGTTCACAAAATTATACAACATTGCCCCCCCCCCATAAAAAAATTAGTAATTAGAGGACAAATCCTCGTAAATTCATCGATAGTTTTTGATGATAAATAAAAAAAGGTTGAAAAATATATCAGTCCAGGAATTCAGCCATTTTAAAATATTATTAATGTAGTATTAAGTATGAATTTTCAAGCTAAATGCAAATTTACCACCTTATGCTAAATGATGCAGTCAAATTGACTTCAAATTCGTAATTAGCGACCCCAAGAACCTCTAGAAACATATATAATATGTCATCATCAGTGATATTCTAATTAATGCCACCTAGATCGGGCCCTGGAACCAATGTGCGACGTCGGAAGTGTCCACATTGATCAAGGTGTGGGTTCGATCCCCGCCTCCAGAGATACTTAATAATTATCCGCTTTAATCAGATTGTTGTTTTACTATAATACTTCATCAAGCAGTCATTCCAAAACGCGTCCTTTTGACTTCAAAATTTTTTTTTTTCTTTATTCATCAAAACCAAAAATTATTTTATTCTATTAAGTATACCTCATATCGAATTTTTTTAGGGGAAAAATAAAACTAATACTAGTAGGAGGGTAAAAATAGGGCCGCGAAGCGGCCCATTGATGGCGCGGAGCGCCTTCGGGGGGTTGGGCCGCGTAGCGGCCAGGGGGCGTAGCCCCCTAGTGACGACATAAGCTCCAAGCCAGCACGAGTTTCATCAACTGAACTCGCGCTGAAGTATATCGCATGTGGAGTATAGTGTTCAAACCATGTCGTTCCCTGACAGGCATGATGAGAGAGAAATTGGATGTAATATTTCTTTAAACGCAAAAAAAGTTAGGGTAGCTTTCAAAAAAATAGGAGATGCCTCCTCAACCTCCCGATCCAATCGGACACGCATGTTATTATTAAAAATAACGAATTGCACTCCATTAATAAAGATTAATTAATTTATCATCAAAGAGTGTAATCTGCAGGGGAGGAAAGCCATCAGAATGATGAATGGTATTTTTTGGGACCAGACCGACCAGACGATATCCAAAGTTAACAAAAAGAGAATTTTTGACGCCATCATCAAAAGCATATTAACCTATGGCAGCAAGGTATGGCAGTTGAAAAAACGGTCCCAGGATATTCTTAAGGCAACCAAGATGGACTACCGGCGAAGATTGGTCGGACTGTCAAGGAAAGATCATGTTCGGAATGAAAGGGTACTTGAAATTATGGGCGTCGAAAACAACATAGTGCATGACATTTTCACAAAACAGCTTGTCTGGTATGGGCATGTACCGAGGATGCCAGATGATAGGTTGCTTAAAAAGGTTCTGAATTGGGCCCCCCTAGCAAGATCAATTTCAGTGGCGATTGCACTGAAAAAAAAATCTCGGTGTATTTACTAAGAAAAGGGTAAAATTACCAAGAATTCAGGGTTCTATTTGATCCCAGCTTTTTCTTGGTAAAATTACCATTTATGGAATTGGTAATTTTACCGAGGTATCTTGGTAAAATTATTGAAGTTTCTCGGTAATTTTACTGGACCTTGGTAAAAACGCCAATGAGTAGAATCAAATAAGTTTTGCTCTTGGAGCCATCGTTTTTTAAAAAAGTGACTTTAGTTATTTTAAGACTTCAGCATGTTTTCTGAAGTCCTCATACTCTATGAAAGTCGATTTTAATAGTGGTCAATCTTCGTTTTCAACAAAAAAAATTTTTTGGCCTCTTTTATCACTGGAAGTTAAATTTTTTGTCCGTACCGTAGACCAACTAAACAGGCTTGTTTTTCCATCAATACGTGCAATAATAATACCGTTTTAAGTTTTTTTGCACTCATTGAGCTATATTCTTGTAGAAGAATAAAACAAAATACCCTTCAAAGTTTTTACTTTCAAAATTTAGCCCCCAAATTGCTCTAAAGTCCGATTTCTAGAATTTTGCGCCATCATTTTTCTCCTAAGAAAGCCAGGAAATGTATTTAAACGCTTAATTTTAATTAATTTCTTTAGAACTAACTTAGAAGATGTGGTAGACAACTTTTTTAAAGAATTTCTACAGGTATGCTCTTCTTAAAGCTACAAATTGTACAATTTTTTACTGGTCTACGGTACGGACAAACGGGCTACGGTAAGGACGAAGAGGCATTCGTAAATATTACTGTATGCAAGGGCCGAATTATAAAGAACTGAAATTCATTGGGGAATAAACTGCTAAGTTATAGCATAGCTTATAAGTGCCACTTTCATAAATTATTACAGGCAATAAAGGTAAAAAGAGTAAGTAAATTAGTTTTTCAAAAATAATGAACTGCTTTTGTTTTAAAGTAAACGCATTAAATAATTAGGGACAAATCTTAGAAGCTGAGTTCTTAAAACAAGCATGACAACGTTAGAACGTTTTAGGTGCACTTTTATAAAAAAAGAAAGAAAACAAAAAGGTAACTTTATCGAAAATGTGGTCACAAATCACCTTAAATAAATATTTAAAGGACGATAAGAAAAAAATAAGTTAGATATTAACGAGTAAATATTAAACGAATAAATTGCTATGAACTTCAGACGAAAAAGAGGACTCAAAGTTCTAAAAGAAAAAATAAAAAAAATAAAAAGATGGCGATCCTTATGCAATCATCGAAAAAAAAAGCCTCCTTCTTCTATGTCGCGTCGTACTAAAAAAAATACGTCTCTCTCTTTTTTTTTTAATTCCAAATTTTGGTGATAGATAAAATAAAGTAAAGTGGGATGATCTATCAAACAGCGCACCGATTTTTGGATGACTTTCGCATTTTGTCCGTACTTACCGTAGACCCGGCCGCATCGCGCGTGAGCTACGGGCTACGGTACGGACGGCTACGGTGCGGACAAATCGTGTGATTATTGGCAACGGTGCTCGGGCATATTCACGCATGTGGTTGAAATTCTGGATTTGAGGTTGAGATATCAGAGCGTATCAAAATATACCAAAATTCGAGAGTTTGAAGTGATTTATGCATTAAAAAGGTAGGTATACGGTAAGGACATCCTAGATGGTCGTTAAACCTAGAAACTCATAAAAAACGGTCAAAATTTACCTTTTCATTCCGGTTTTTTCCTCTTCTCGACTACAACGTGCACGACAGTTACGAAAACACAAAAAAAAGTAAACAAAGTTCTTCAGTGCTCCACTTTAGCGGACGAAATGATGCTGAAAACAGGGGGCTACGGTACAGGACGCGAATTTCGCAGACAAGGCTGCTTGACGCAAAGACGGTCAATATTTTCACTTATTTGGATGAATATAACTGAAAATAATAAGTTAGGTACAAGTTGAGTGTGAATTTACAGCAGAAGTGGAAGTATTTAGATGCAAGATGATGGTTGTGAAGCGTTAAAGTTGCGCACTTGAGTCGCAGACAGGCTACGGTACAGGACATTTCAGCTGTTTAGGGCCAAAATTCTGATATTAAATGGCAAAAACTGCCTGAAGCGATGTTGGGACCTGATTAAGCGTAAAATTTTGAACAAATTTAAAAAAAAAAAACGTCAGATTTTTCTATTTTGAAGGGCTAAAAAGTTGGGAGACATGGTAGAGCAAAACTTATTTGATTCTACTCCAATCTTTTATCGACTGTGGTAGAATTACCGAGATAAAATGGCAAAGTTACCGGGAATTGATTACCAATAAAAGTAGTATTCTTACCTGAAAAAAACAGTAAAAATACAGGTTTTTAGGTAAGCTCAGCAGTCTGTCTTGGTAAAATTACCAAGAATTGGTAAAAAAAGTGAGATAGTAAAGGTACCAACGGACTGTGGTAAAAACGCCGGGAATTTTTTTTTCAGTGTGGGTGTCGCAAAGCACAAAGAAGCGCCATAAGAGCGACTAAGTAGTGGTAGTAGCAGTAGTAGTAGTAGCAGCAGTAGTAGTAGTGGTAGTAGTAGTAGTAGTAGTAGTAGTAGTAGTAGTAGTAGTAGTAGTAGTAGTAGTAGTAGTAGTAGTAGTAGTAGTAAAGTAGTAGTAGTAGTAGAAGTAATAGTAGTAATTTATCATTATCGGTACGCTGCGGCAACAATACATTTTTTGTCCACGTCACAAATTGTTCTAATTTTATTTCTCGCGTTGTTATCAGCTGATGAGTTCAGTCGGAAGTACTTCAGGAGGGGAGGATCGGACCCACTACCCCGCGAGCATTCAGTCCAGAGGCGCACACCTGGGAGGTTTGGTGCCGTCAACACGAAAGACCCCTCCGAAAGAAGGAGTCGCAAAAAGATAACACAGAAAAATATCGATCCGTTCCAAACCGACCCCACCCCCATAAAATTCTCCAACCCCGCTGATAAGCCCCCTTCCGGCTTTAATCCTGCAAACCCTGCTGTCACGTCTTCTTCAACCAACCCGAAACCAGCCAGCTTCGCCGTCGCATCTTCTTCAACCGGCCAGAAACCCGCTACATCTGCCGTTGCGCCTCTTTCAACCGGCCAAAAACCCGCTGCCCCCGTCTACGTCCAAGATCGCGTAACCGGCCAAATCTTATCTATCAAACGTCATCCCGTAACCGGCAAACCAGTCATCGCCGTGCCGCATCCTTTAGGCGGCCCAGGACCTATTTCTGGAGCTTCGCGCCCTGTGATTGGCGTAAAACCATTGACAATCAAGCCTCCTGAAAGATGTCTCAGTAGAACTGGATCTTGCAAGATCAAATCTCCTAGTTTTAACTATGATAAGAACTCGCCACCTGGTGGCAGAACCCCGAAAGTCACCCCAAAAACGCAAAACGTACCGAGAGACGTGCATTGGATAGAGGGCGAGTTTTATCCTCCGCCCGAGAATCAGGTACGCAAATATTATATATAATATCATATATATTGTATAATATAATATAATATATATTGTATAATATAATATTATATATATTGTATAATATAATATTATATATATTGTATAATATAATATTATATATGCTGCCGTGCTAAGAGAAGACGCCGTATGAACCTTCAGGCGTTGCTTTTCCTTTCATAAAATACGAATTTATCGGGAAAGCCGTCGATATTATTCTTCCAATTTTCCACACAATTTTGTTCTCAATTTAATCTATAACGATAAAGCACAAAAACATAGCCCGAATATACGAATAAAGAAGGAGATTTAATTAAAATATGGGTGAACAGGCTAAAAATTATTGAAACACTAAAAGGCAGGACGTTTCGAGCTGCTACCAGCTCATTTTCAGCTGCAAAAACACATAAAAACATGTGAAAAATTGATTGGTGACCTGGCCCCAGCCGTTATCACGTAACCACTCAATTTTTTACTTGTTTTATGTGTTTTTGCAGCTGAAAATGAGCTGGTAGCAGCTCGAAACGTCCTGCCTTTTAGTTTTTCAATAATTTTCAGCCTTGTTTACCCATATTTTAATTAATAAATCTCTTTCTTTAATCTATAATACTTGAAAATTTCAAGGAATAATATGCATATTCCAGAATAAATGTTTTATCAGGAGAAATTTGGCAAAATTCGAATGTTCATATGGCGTTGTTCCTTAGCTTGGCAGTATGAAGTGTATACGTAAGATTTTCCCAAAGCAAAAGTCACCAGACTGCAGAATAATTATCCTTTTGAATCTTAAATTCAGAAAAATTTGAAAACATGATTTTTTGTTCAAGAAATCAATTTATTTTTCCGAAAATATTTTTTTGAATAATGCGTCTGGTATCACAGTGACGATATAAACCTGACAAACGCAAATAGAATGTAGCGAACAGTGATGTTAATAAAACACGAGTTTCACAATTTGAAAATTATTAGAGAGGGAAGTTTTCGGTCTCTTCGCCGCCGTGATCGTTGAGACTGCTGATCATTTTTTCATAGGATGTGCAATGGGCCTGTTGCAAACGTCAGCTAGACCAAAAAGCAGAGTAGTTATACTTATAGAAAATGGCTTAAAAATCACAATGAGCGCATTAAGAAAGTCTGAAATATAGCTCCTAACTTCTCAATTCGCGTGAGATACATTGATTTTTTTTTAAATTTTTTTTCCAGCTCCCCGCCCCCAAAACGATACTGCGGCACAAATGAAGATTTTGCGTGAAAAATCGTTCCATCCAACCCTTGCGCACGAGGATGCTGCACAATATTCAACATGGCTGACGCTTCCGTGCGCAAATCATGAGGAAGCACCATAGTCGCAGGATAATGTGAATATAAACAACGTCGGTTGATGAAATCCCTTCTCGTCATGTGCGTTTTGGCGGGTTGGCGTCACTCATGTTTTGAATATTGCGTAGCATCCTAAAGCGCATGGGTTGGATGATAATCATAGAGTACATAGAGTCATAATGCAAGAGGGAGAGTTGGCGCCACTTTTAAGCATTTCCCAGGTCCCGAATTCCGAGATTCCTGTGCGGTGCCGGGTCCCTTTTTCGATACATAATCGATTGTTTGCGATACACGAGGACCCGGCCATATTCCACACCGCCATTTTGGATCGAATATGTATCGGAAAAGTGACCCGGCACACCGGGCTCGGAACTCGTCGAGCGGAACATGGCGCCAGCTCTCCCTTTTACATTACGACCTTATGTAGTCTATGATGATATCTGACTCCTCTTACGAAATGTTCACCTGTGACGTAGTATCGTTTTTGAAGCGGGAAGCTTTAAAAGCACATATTCCTCACGGATCTTGTAAAGTTAGGAGTGTATTTCAGACTTTCTGATGGGCTCATTGTAGTTTTGGAGGCATTTTCTCTAGGAAACTACCTTCTTTTTTTTTCGTGGCTGAAGTTTGCAACAGGCCCATTCCTAAATTTTGGATGATCGCGGTGTATTCCTTACGGATCTTGTGAAGTTAGGAGTGTATTTCAGACTTTTCTGATGAGCTCATTGTAGTTTTGGAGGCATTTTCTCTAGGAAACAACTCTTCTTTTTTTTCTGGCTGAAGTTTGCAACAGGCCCATTCCTAATTGTTGGATGGTCGCGGTGTCGATAGAAATTAAGAACTGTTTGACTATGATCATTACGTATTCTGATTCAAGGTTCCGTTCAATTATTCAAATAATAACGCACCAGTTCAAGGCATTTATTCCGTCGCAACAAAATATCACATGTGCCTCAAGTAGAATTGAGAGGCTTGGCGGACAAGATGCATAAGTGCAGTTTTTGAAGAAATTGAGTTATTAATGATTTCGATTAAATCTGGTCTTAATGCATATTCCTTGAGCGGGTGGTTTGAATTCACGCATGAAGAATCATTAAATATCGTTGTGAGGAGTTGATTTCGGTAATTTTGTTGTGCGCATCTTGTTCTACGTGAAATTTAAGTTACGAAGCAAGTATCAGAGTGCTGAAATTCGTTCCTTGTCTAGTGGTCCATTGGGCTTTTGAAATCCAAGATGAATTTCCATCGTTAGTTACTTAAAGATATCCCATTGTTTTCACATTTGGAAAATTTCAGAATATCGTAAATACCGAGTGCGGAACATGCTGGGCCTACGCGAGCGCCGCTGTCATGGAGATTCTTGTATCTAAGAAACTACGGCAAATTATTCGGTTCTCTAAGCAACGTAAGTTATCAAAGCAGTACCTTCTTAGGGTTCAGCGCCCACCTGGTGGGATCCGTATGAACATTCGAGAGTTGCCAAATTTTTGTTAATAAAACATGTATTTTTGGCGACATTCATGCAAATTTTTCCTTGAAATTTTCGAATATTTTAGATTAAATTGCGTACAAAATTGTCTGGAAATGGAGAGAAATATTTACAATTTTCTCTGTAAATTCGGTTTTTATCGAAGGAAATTTGGCAACGCCTGAAGGTTCATACGACGTTTTTCCTTAGCATGGCAGTATGCGCCACGGGTTTATATTTGACCACAAAAGGCTAGCTTTGTGTTGATGTTCTACCCATCTCTTTCCTCGGTTCAGAATCCTTCCAAGATTGCAATTGCAAGAGACCAATTACCTGCCTCTCCTCTATTTCGCTCAAAATTTCCTTCTACCAAAAATGAAATCAGGTGGTTCGATAATTTTTTAATCATGCATCTTTAAACATTAGCGAATGCAAGGAATCAGTTTGCAGAATCAGTATATCCTCAGCGATTCGAAGAACTATTTAATACTCCATTCATCAGTTGCAAATTTCTAAAATTTATGACATTTCTTCAAACTTTAAGGCATCCAAATACGCTGTATGGGATGTCAAGTACCTACTTTTAAAAAAAAAAATGACGGCGAAAATTTTTAAAATAGCTTCCGAAGTACGTCCCTAGTGAATAGTGCAAATCATTTTGCTTCTCGATTTGCGATGCGTGTATACTTTCGACCCCGGATGTACTTTTGAAGTTATTTCAAAATTTTCTTGGTCTTGTGTGTACAAATACCTAACTACCACGGTGTGATGCGTTGCTCGGAAAGTCTTGAGAAACGCCCTCATATACAGCAAATTTATAGGTCAATCGTTCGATTATCGAATGCATTCTCCAAAGCGCTAAAAAACCACATTAGCGTTATCCCAATATCAGTGCTGCCACTTCCCGGAAATGATGCCGAATTTCAAAGCCTTTCAAACAATCGGTACTTTTCCCAAAATCTTCAGCTTTATTTGAATTTCTTCAAATTTGTGGGTTTTGTCAGTTTGACCGATTCTTAATTCATATTCGACGACTTTTTTTTTTATTGCATTTGACGATATTTGAATCAGTGAGAACGAAAACGCACCAACTCGGTACCTCGAAAATGCTCTTTTCACTAAGGACAGACAATTTTCATAAAGGTCATTGAAGGTACCGTATCTGTTCCAACTTGGACATTTAAAGTTTCCTTAAGTACTTGTTTTTAGGCACCAAAAATATTTATCTTCGACTAATTTCTTCACCCAATATGCAGTTTTGTGTGTGTCTTGATTATTTTCTTTTTTTCGAGTTGGTGTGTTTGTATTCTCACTGATTCATTTGGAACTAAATCCGCTTGTCTATCGGAATTTTTTCCCCGGAACTTTTGAAAAAATCTGAAATTTTCGCGGAACTTTGGGAAATCGGAATCGATTCCGAGAACCCCGCGGAATTTTGGATAAAATAAAGGGGTAAACCCTGCGAAATATTAAATAATTTACCTTAAAATAAGTATATATGTTTTTGAATTTTCGTTCAGAGTTGATCGACTGCGTGATAGAGAACTACGGATGCGATGGTGGCGATCTCAAGTTTGCCCTTACGTATATCATGGATGAAGGGCTTGCTCTTGAAAGGGACTATCCATTCACAGGAAAGGACGGCGAATGCATGAACGTAACCGATAAATACATAGTTAAAATAAGAGAATTACAGCTCATGAATACTACGAATCTAATCAGATCGGGTTTGAAAAATTTCTCTCCGCTGGCTACGTACTTCTACGCCCCAACTGGTCTTGAGGTAATCTCGTTTTGTTAATTATTGGTGCGGCTTATAGAGGCCCGTTATATCCAAAGTGGCTCCATAAGAAACTCTCTTCTAATGGACCACTAGACATTAACGTACGAATTTAAGCGTTCTGATTTATACTTCTTTACCAGAATTTCACGTAGAACACGAAACGCGCACTGAAAATAACTAAAATCATCTCCTAAGGAAGCTATTTAATTTTCTTGATGCGTGAATTTAAACCTCCCGCTCAAGAAAACTCAATGCTCTGCGTGAGTCAAATCATGCCCTAAACGTTACCATGCTAGTCTCTGCGATATGAAAGTCTGGCAACCTCAATCTTGACACTTTGGCTCAGCTACAGCAAGTTGTTAATAGTTTGAACGACACAGGGTGGGGAATGAAGAGTGCTCGATTGAGAAGGTTGCTGAAACCATTGTATTGCGCGATTTGACTCACGTAGAGCTTTGAGTTTCTTGTGAGCGGGCAGTTCAAATTTCTCCTCAACAATGTAAAATAAAAACGTCAATATCTTCGTTAAGTGTTGGTTTCAGTAATTTTTGTTACGGAGATCGTGTTCTACGTGAAATTTTGGTCAAGAAATACGTATCAGAATGCTTAAATTTGTACCTTGTCTGGTGGTCCATTAGGTTCCGTCTTAAGGTTGGACGTCACAAACGGAAGGAAATATTTCACTTTCACCGGTTGCAAAGATTGTACCCAAAGAGCATTTTACAAACGAAAAATCGCGATATTTTGAGATTAATTTTCGATTCTTTTGAGATGAAATCGCTAGGATCATCAACATCTGAGCAATTATCCTCGACCTTTTTTATCCGGACTGTCGTTGGTAAAGCACGTATTTGACTTGGTTTTTGTATAAACTTACTCATTTTTGCGGAAGAACGCTTACTTATGGATTTTCTTGACCATTTTGTGTTTGATATTGGAGACCAAAGATTGACAGTGACATTATTCGTCTTTAAAGGTTACCTACCCTTTTGGGCCCTAAGAGCTACATATGAGCTTCGAGTTGTCCAATGTATATACTCTCCCTATATAGGTACTCCATCACAGTGTAAAATATCTGAACGCAAATTCTAAATGCAAACAGCACGAGACGGGAAAAAATTGAATACAAATCTTTACGTTCGAAATAGGGGATTTCCCCCATTTGAATTTGTATGCTCAATCTTTTCCAGCTATATGAAGGGGGAGTGTTGGAACCACCGCCAGAAGAATGTCAAGATATAGAGAGACTTCATGCGGCCGTGATAGTCGGGTACAACGGCGGTGAGTTTGTGATCAATATCGTCACGCTTGGATAGCAAACAGATTTGCACCCCATTAGACGCAAAACTAATAAGATTTTTGCATGAACGTAAATGAGCGAATAGTACTCTTTTACCGAAAAAACTTCATTATTAGACTCATCTGGAAAACCTGCAGAGGCATGCATCACACGTTTAACAAATATTGGCTGATGAAGTCAAAAATGACCTTCGGTTTTTTTCTCTCCTAAATCAACCGCCCGTCTGATGCGATGAAAGTTCGATTTTTCCGAAAATCTGCTCGTGAAGAGGAAAAAACCAAGGTCATTTTCGGACTTAGCGCAGCGCTAAAAATCATATAACTACCATGTCTCCAGCAATTTTTTTTTTAAAATCTGTGTCATAATGAATTCACAATGTACACACTAACGTGGTATCCAAACAGTATACATAGCCTTTTGTCAAAACGCTCTCGAACTGGAGTCGGAGTGATTACTGATCTGCCGTGCTAAGGAAGAACGCCGTATGAACCTTCAGGCGTTGCCAACTTTCCTTAGATAAAACACAAATTTTCTGGTAAACTTATGGATATTTTCCTTCCAATGGAGAATTTGCAAGGGTCTGAAATTTGATGAATTTCCTGTTTAAGTGGAATCCTCTGAGTGAACTGAACACGAAGATACCCTTGATTCATAAATTGAGCAACTATTAGAGGAGATATAACAAAATAACCGATTCTGCTAAAATACATGTGTTTAAATGGGAAATGCCGCCAGATGACGTCACAAGGTGGCGCATTTTCTCACTTTTAAATCAATTTTTCTCCAATTTCCCATGTCAGAAAAAAATTATGAAAAATATTGCGAACTCAGCTCATTAGGCACTTTCAGATGAAGCAATAAAAAAATTGCGTGCAAATTCTCCATTTTTCAGATAATTTTTTCTGCATTATCACCTAAAATTCCAGAAATTTTCAAGAGAAACTACGCATAACTTTCCTTAAGATTTTATCGAAGGAAATTTGGCAACTCTCGAATGTTCATACGGCGTTCTTCCTTAGCACGGCAGTGATGTTTTAACGAGAAATGATTGCATCATAAAATTACCAAGTCAGTAGTGTTCCAAATTAGCTCAGTATTTGCAAAAGCCATGACCAAAAATAATTATGGTGGCACTATTACACTGGAAAAAAAAAACACATTGGATCTAGAGTCCAGACTCTTGAAAACATTGCAAGAAAAAGGACTCTTGATTCGATCAGATAAAAGCTTGATTCAGCTGAAATCAAAAGGAAATCCGCTCAAATTAAGAGGCTTGGTTCTCGATGTAAGCAAAAATCCGATTGAATCAAGAGTATTTTTTCTTGTCGATGTTTTTAAGAGTCTGGACTGTAGATCCAATGTGTTTTTTTTCCAGTGATACTATTAAGTGATAATTTTACGAACTTAATAGTAAAATAACCGTCGTAGTGGCAAAATTACCATCAATGGTAAAATACCACCACTATTGGTTGACGTTTAACTAAGAGTTCGGTAAGAGTTCCACATTAACTATGAGTTAATGTGGAACACCACTAATAATATGGTACTCCAAATCATAGATGAAAACTGCCACCACCACTGCTTTAGAAACTGCCTCCATTTCATTTGTTTTGTCTAATTTCCTTTTTTCGTTTGCTGACAGATGAGTTACTTATGCGGAACTCTTGGGGGCCGGATTGGGGTGAGAAGGTAAGTATCTCTGAATCGAGGAAGACATTTTAGCAGGCGTGTGTTCGGTAACCGATTAACGCATTAAAAGTTTTCAATGAATAACTGTCGAAATTTACATACACAGTTTGTTGACACAGCTTGACGTTGAAAGTATGCTAATATATGAGAATTGTTGATTTTTCTAGCATTTCAGTGACATTGCGATGACGTATAAGCGAGTAAATCATGAGCGAAAATTAAAGTTGCCAACTTTCTTGTTCTTGTTTCCGCTTCAGATTTTCAATAAATTACCAATGATTAATAATCTAATATTTAATAATTTACCAATGCTAACGCTGTGTATCTATATCATGGATTCATGCCAGTACATGAATGGAATTTGTGATCGGATTATCGAAAAAGTAGCGTTGTATTTCATAATTATCGCCATAATTTTAGCCCATTCATCTCAATACTGATACACGTGTGATAATACAAATCCTGTATCGGAAGTTTGCGTGTACTGTTCACTCGCTTTATTGGACGGTTTATTTCATTACGAGCAAGCTATCCAACAAAATACGTTTGTCTTCCGCAGCTTGTTTTTATCTCGAAGGAGCGTCGAGGCTTTGCAAATCTGACCTTCAACGTTTCAAAATGTCCACCCATATATGGCATTTATTAATTAAATATTGAAATCTTGAATTAAGAATTTAATAACGGTTTTTGATTTTTCGTAGGGTAACTTTTGGATCAAAGCTGGACTATGTGGGCTTGGAAACGAAACGTATGCAATATCCGAGTGGATGAATTTGGCGGTTTAAGTTTTGTTGAGGGGACATCAAGAAAAGTAGCGTGGTCCATGAATTTGTGCTTTTTTTTCTCTGTGGTCAAAGGGGGCGTTGCTTTGCTGCGATACCTCGCGCTAACTTAAGTGGCGCTGTTTAATTATAACCGTGACTAAAAATTTAGAAATAAGTATGAGAGAAATAAAAAGATTAAATTATGAAAATAAGCTCATGGTACTCATATCACCGTCAGCCGGTGCCGCAGAAATCTGCGGCAGTGTGCTTATACTCTTGGTCGAATATCTATCGCAAATATAGCTCGCATTGCGTTTGGTGCAATGCGAGAAGTATTCATGGCGCTAACATGCGCTTGACGTCGACCGCACTGTTCGGCGCAATGCGTGAAGTATTCTTGCAGTGTTGCAGGCGCTGATATGAGTTTGACGCCGACCGCACCGTGTTTAGCGCGATTATTCGAACTCGCGTTGCGATATAATCTTTGTGATAATCGCAGCATCAAACAATGGGGCTTAAAAGGCTCATGTTGTGTTATTACGCCGTATGAGTATTTTGACCTTGCCTCGTTCCTCCTGATAAAATATTTTCTCTGAGAAAAGTTAGGAAAGTTCTCTATTTTCACTTTTTTAGATTGAATGGACCATCAAACAAGGTACGAATTCAAGCACTCTGATACATGATTCCTCAGCAGAATTTTACGTAGAGCCCGATTCGCGAAACGAAAACTCCTGAAATCAACTTCTAGCTAAGATACTAACGTTTTTATTGTCCATCATTGGTTACGGGAACTTTGAATTGCCCGGTCACAAGAAGAACAAAACCCTGCGCGAGTCAAATTGCGCACTACAACGGCTTTAGCAAACTATATAATATAAGGGTAGACTGAGAAGCTTAGCATAGTTAGCGTGGAGCTTAGCTAACATGGCAATAAGCAAAATTTGAAATTCCTGCTAATGGAAAGAAACAAGTCGCCATAAGGAAAAAAGACCTCGGATTAAGTAAATTCATTATAATACTTTCATAAGTATGTTTTGGTTGCTATGGAACTGAGGAGCGCCTTTCACCTGAAAAAAAATCTTCTACACGAGTAGAAAAGAAAAGCCATACACAGCAAGTGAACTTGCACTTGTCCCCTTCGGACTGGTTCGAAAGTCATCATTCACAATTTTCTTTTGATGAATTATTCCGTAAGTTCATTGATATTTTTCTGCTCGCAAAATTCAAAACGGGAAAAGAAGGTTGATGAAATTGTGTTAGTAGCGCAGTCTATTTTGACTCAAACCAACAAGTGAATAATTAATTGATACATAAATTTGTCAAACCACAGTCAGATCCTGAGAGGAATCTTTCAGTAATACTAAGAATGTATCGGATGCGCTTGTTGTGTTAAATAAACTAAAGTTTACCAATGATATTTCAAATTTCTCTGTGAGAGTTTTTTCCTCTCAAAATTTTCCGCAAAAAAGGTCCCTCTCTGAGAAACAGGAGAGTTCCTACTTAGATTCTAAATCAAGCGTAAACCATGCGTCAAACAAAGAGAAAGTATCAGGTAGCTAAATGTTTGAACCGAATCCAGCGCCAGCGCACTATGTGAACATTCGTGACAGCCATTCCTGGTCAAAAAAACAAATCAAATCAAACAAATCGCACCAATAATTTCAACTGAGTCAATGCAAATCTGATCCAACTGATATCCTATGCTATGCTATGCTATGCCATGCTTATTTGTGATCCTTGGCAGTTCAGTTGCTCACCTGAAATGATGAAAAACTAAAGATTTACTTAGCTGAGGCGGCGCACTGTGGAGGGAATCAATGAAAGAAGCTAGACATGATTCGGGAATTTGACAAGCTTATCGAGTGTAGAACCACGTATCTTCATTGCGGTGTTTCAAAAGCTTTGATCCTATTTTATTTTTTCGAGAAGGAACAAGCCCCTATTGTAGTTAAAAATTTGTACAGAATATGCTGCTGTCAAGCAACAAAGTTCTCAAGAAAATACGTTGAATATTGTTCCAAGGAAAAAATGAAGTATGACAGGAAGCTTGCAACGTCGCAAACGGAGTTACGTGGTTTTGCACTTTCGCCATCGTTATACCTATATTTCCAATAATTAAAAACGCAAAGGTTCAATAATGGCTTTAATGGTTTTAATGGTTTTCTCGAAAAATTACTTTCGGAACAAATTAAAGAAGAAAATCGTAAATCTGCGGCTAGAGATAATCATTAGTACACTTCTTAAAATATATAATACACTTGGAAAAAAACACATTGGGTCTAGAGGCCAGACTCTTGAAAACATTAACAAGAAAAAATACTCTTGATTCAATCAGATTTTCGCTTGGATCAAAAGGAACTCCGCTCAAATTAAGAGGCTTGGTTCTTGATTTAAGCAAAAATCCGATTGAATCAAAAGTATTTTTTCTTGTCGATGTTAATAAGAGTCTGGACTCTAAATCCAATGTGTTTTTTTTCTAGTGCATGACGATATAATCATCAAAATTGGCAGTTAGAATAAATACCTATGTGGTATCCAACCTCTCCTAAGAGTTCGTTTTACTGTGCGGCATTGGCTAGATTGAGCCATACCTAGTGGAAACGTTCTACAATTTTTGTAGTACTGTTCAGTGTTCAGATCGTTCGATGTGATGCGTCATTTCCTGAATTGATTTCAAAGCTTCAATTAGATTATCCGCAAACAATCTTCCGCACAATTCCTCCATTTTATTTACCAAAATCGTTTACACGTGTGTTTGGTTAGTTTGCTAAAATATGCGCGGTACAACAGAGTTTAGACTAGGAAAACTCTACCGAAAGAGAATTTTCACGGCTTTTTTACGGGAGTCACCAGATCCAGATCCTCTTCAATTAATAGGAATACCCCACCAACTTCCAGAAAAGCACCCCAAACCCAAACAAGGAAACCCTCAGAACAACCAAAAAAATCGGATAAACCTAACGACAAAAAAGGAAATGAAAATACTGGAACTAACGGAGATAATGGCAAGAATAAAAACCTTTTTGAAAATAAACAAAACAAAAAGCCCGAATCTAAAACATCAGAAGCTAAATCAGGACCTATCCCTAAGAAAGACCCTCCCAAGAAGAAGACTCTATCTCAAAACAATAATCAAACAGGAAATAATCAAGAACATATAAAAGGAAATAAGGAACAAGAAAACCCTAACAATAAAAGTCTTTTCACGAATATTGAGAAAAAACCGATAGAAAATACAAAAAGCAATCAAAATCAAGCTCTTAATTTAGACCTCCTCAAAAATATGGAATCCACTCTTCGTAGATTCACAGAAAATACCGAGAACTCTATACTCTCTCTATGTAAAAACGAATTGAAGAAAGCCATGGAAAATATGATGGAACATTTCAATTCAATAATAATGGATATATCAAATAATACTCTTGAATCGAAACGCATAAAAACTCTAGAAAAAGAAAAAGATAATCAAAAGCAAGAAATTGAAAAACTGAAGAAAAAAGTTACAGAACTAGAAAAGAAACTAGAAACAAAGAACTCTACCAATCAGGACACTAAAAAACTTGATCAAATCGCAAAATCGATTAAAAATATCACCGTTGGACTCAGTAAAACACATCCGGAAATACAAATCGAGAATGCTCCACTCGAGATGATAACTAAACAAAAAATCAAGCAATCGATTTCAAAACACGACCCAGAACTAGAAAAGTTTCATGTTACAGGAGAAAATGTAACAACAGCAACATGGGCAGAAATCGCACGAGAAAAGTTTCCCGATCTGAAAGTAGAGAGAGTAAAAAAAATCAAAAAGCGGAATCATTTTAGAAACCAAGGATACAACAAAAATGGAAGCAGTGATAAATACTATAAAAGAATCAGACGATGCCGAAATTAGGGAAATTCAACCAAAGAAAATCATCACTTTTAGAATCGCAAATGTGGATGAATGCCTATCTATTGAAGAAGTAAAGAAACAATTAGTTTCCAAAAATTTAACTAATTTAGGATGGAATGATGAAAAACTAAATGAAAACTTCCGCTTCATCACATCACACAAAAAGAAAGGAAGATTCAGTAAGGATACACTACAACAAATCTACTTCAACGCATTACCAGACCTAGCTAATGCACTAGAAAACACAGAAAAAATATACATGGGCTCATCAGTTTGTAAAATCATCCCAACGATACTAGTTCTCCCCTGTAATATTTGTGCCGCACTAGATCATCAATCTCGCTTTTGCCCATTATCAGAAACGGAACCCATCTGTTTCAAATGCGGACAAAAATCTCATAAATCATCAGACTGTAAGAACAATTTTAAATGCGTGAATTGCACTAAAGAAAAGAAGAAAGATACTAATCACTCTTGCACATACTATAAATGCCCATGCATAGTATCCGAAATAGAAAAAAGAACCAACAGATACAATTGGGGGAATAATGAGTCCAAAGGAGGGATAGACTTAGGAAAAAATAATGGAGAATCGAACGCTTAGCCAAAACTTTGGCCTACTTCAAGATAATGTTGATACCTCCTTTGAAGAATTCTATTTCACTGATAAGAAATTAAGAAAAACCATAAAAAAGCCTAAAATGAATCATTATTACCTCAATAATGAAACAAATCGTCTCTCCAACCACAAACCGATTCAAGATAATAAACCCATACAATCACCGAAAAGAATCAAATTCCATATCAAAAACAAAAATCCGAATTCTAACAAGATAATAGACGTCCCAACCAACTCCAACAAAAAGGACCGAGGATTTAGAGCGATACTCTGCAATGCGAAAAAACGTATCATATCAGTAGATATTATTAATAATATTGCATTCCATAAAAACGCAGGTATAATCCTAATCACCGAACCTAATGCATTTAAAAGCTAAAGAGACAACTATTTTGAATCGACAGATAATAAAGTTGCGATTAAAACTAATCAAAACCTAGTAGGAGCCACAGATGGATGGAAAAGTGAAACAAATTTCGTTCATTTTAACTGGAATAACTACCTCATCATATGCTGCTATCTCAATCCTAACGATACTCACCACGAACTGGAAATCTCTCCTCTGAAATTAGAAATGATAATACAAAAATCAAAGAAAAAAGTAATCATCACAGGTGACTTCAATAGTAGATCGACCCTATGGGGAGATAAGACTACCAACTTCAGAGGCAAAATGGTAGAAGAATGGTTTCTCAGTA